GACTATGAGGGAGCCATTAAATTAGAAAGCGCCTTTTAGTAAATTTAATAGAAGTTGAGCTAAATCACTCACTGCCTTTATGTATTCGCGACCAATCGAGCATCTTTGATTATACTCCTCCTCATCTACAGCCCGCCTATTAGACGCCTAAAAGTAGGGAAGAAAACGGTAAAATGCTTCAATAGTATGAAGTAGGAAGACAAGGGGGAGAGAGAGAAGAGGTGAAGACTAACACGACTCATGGAAAATGAACCATATCGACTCCTGGGATATGGGCGAAGTAGAAGAGATTCGCTTGCGGGCTCCGCGTCATCCGTTGAGCTGCGGTTGCGAGGAGGCGGAATTCGAATTTCTCGTTTACTCATTGTAGCTGGACGATCCAGCCGATTACGGACTGGAATTATAAAATGCCTTATAAAGAAAGGAGCGAAGCAGAGGTATTTTAAATAATGAATGGGTGGTATTTGAGCTGATCACAGCTTTACGCTCATGAAAATCTCTGCCATAATCAAGTAGTAATAGCAAAACGCAAAGAACTCAGACAACTCGAATGGCTTTAAACTATCCAAGGAAATAAATCTATCTAGATCGAATGATCAATCACTTAACAAGGCCTGAAAGTCGGTTCTAACACTATTTGAGTTGTACAATTACCGGCGAAAATGAAGTTACCGATGAATGCAAACTTGGAATTAGAGAAAACCAGTGCACTCGTGATGAAGGCACATTTTTTTTGCTCCGATCAAAGGGACTTTTAACGCTAAAGCGATTCAGATTGAGGAAAAAAGAAGTATTAGGGGCTCAAGTGACGTCTTACCATCACAAAATGTAATGCCTGATAATAGGGTAAGTGATTGGCTGCTTGCTAGCCAATCACTTAAAGCGATGACCTTTCAGCACGTGGCTCTACATAGCTAGACGTGAACAGAAACAAAGGTTGCCAATGTATCCCGCTTTCAATCAGAGAAGCCGATTGACGATGCTGGCGGGAAAAACTCAGATGGTATAATGGCCAATCGCAAATGACAAATTGAGGTAACCACTACAAGGGGTGGGGGAGGGGATGGGGGTGGTAATTGGCAAGAGAGTTATTTTAAGTGGATGATGAGGTTGAAACATATCACAAACCTGATTAAAATATAAATTAAAAAAAAACAGTTGAAAAGAGAGACAAAAAGATATCTAAATACCAAATATCAGGATTGATAAGAAATCTTAAGACTGTCACAATTAATGGGGAAAATTTAAAGGCCCAATGCAAAAAAGCTTTGTTTATGATGGAATACGGCGAATTTTAATGCGAACAACAGAAATGGCCGATTTTTACGCATATCTCACAGGTACGAAACACCAAATACAAAGTAATTAGAATTCGTCAACATAGAGACGGCTGAATAAATCTTGAAAGATTATCCCTTGCAGAACTAAAAGTATCAAAAATCTAGATCACGCCCCAAAGATGAACAAAATGCATCCACTCGGCAAACGATAAAATACGGATCATCATGGTAACTAATTACTGAAATGCAACTCAATCGGCCGCAGTGATTAAGGAATTACCTAATACAAAATTGAAAAAAATGGGAAATAATATTTCAATAAAAGCGAAATAGAACGAAGAGTACTAAAAAGCTGAGGAAATATTGCCCATGTAAGGAACTGAAGGTCAGAAGGATTACACATTATATTAGGGAAACACGTAAGATATTTATTTTACATATATGCTCTCATGAGGCAAATAGATCATACAATGATGCCAAAATATCGTTACATTAAGAAAATAAATCAAACAAGCATTAAAGTGTAAAGGGACGTTTTGAGATGCAATGCATTTAAATAAGTGCCCCCAACATTTGAAAAAAACAAAGCTTCACAAAATCGAATATTCAGGCAAACTTAATCAAATTTTGACATAATTAAAACACGAATGTCTTGTTTATTAGTAAGTTTTAGTTGTGTTATGAATTTAAAATAGCGGCATGGTTAAAATTCGAAATTAGCGCCAAGAAAAGATGGAGGGACATTAAAACAAGTACAATTTCCGGCGTAATGGGACAAACCACCAAACATTGAACAATATCAAGGTCACATACGCAGAATAAAATTGTTGTAAGATAACTAAAAAGTACCAATAGATAATAGCTTACCAATGAGGCTGTTATTTCGTTGAGATTCAGAGGTAAAAATTGTTTCGCCTGTGATAACGCAATCAAAATCAGAGTCATCGAGATAAACATTTTCATTTATCTCGTTGTTAGTTGGTTGCTCCACGTCGGTAGTCTTGGGATTATTTTCTTCATCCTCCATGACGTCAACAGACCTAGTAGGAGGTTCTTGATGTTCGGAAATTTCACCTTGCTCAATTTGAGTAGACTCTGTTTCCTATCAGACAAGGAAGTAAGTAAATCTACCGCAAATGCTTGCAAACAGCAGAAGAACCACTCTTACGTGGACATTTTCGGCCGACTCTTGTTGATTTTCTCTAGCGGTTTCTACAGGCTTCGCAGGTTCCTGATCGTAGAACATTAAAAAAATGACTCAACAAGAACTTACGACTTCATTTTCCACCGGTTCACCTTCCGAACATTCGGTAGCATTTATGCTTTGCACTTCCTAGAGTTTTGAAGTAAGACAATAAAAAACTCTACTTACAAGCTCGCTATTATTATTTTCAACTTCGATATCTTCAAGTGCATTAGGGCCCTTAATAGTTCGAAATTAAATTAGTAAGAGAACCCCACCTGATAATGTGAATGACCAAGCAGCAATGCCCTTCCTTCTTCTGTCCATTTTTTGATATCCGGGCCAAAATGTTCAGCCTGAATTAATATGCCATTTCTAGAAATCCCTCGGGACTGCACCAAATCAATTTCATAGGAATGCACTTCTGATTTGAGGCTTTGAATTTCGGCAGCAAGAATAGGAGGCAGGCGATTGATCTCACAAGACTCCTTTGCTATTTCAAACTGTTCAGTCGGGAGATTTTGTAATAACTCTGAAAGACGTTCAGAGGTGAAGAAAGACTTATTTGCTAGAGACCCGATATCTTCCCCTATTTCGCCTATCTCCCCATTTACTTCCTTAGACATTCCTTGACTTTCAGCAGAAAAAATAGTGGATGCACTGACGCCAGGACGGTGCTCAGTATTTTCACCACCAGCTGAAAAATAGAATATCAAAATCACTTATACAAACCACCAATTTCTGCATTGCCATTTACATCAATTCCTGGGTTGTTAGATTCAGTAGAAATGAGACTTTCGTTTGATAGTGAAATATTTTTAAGAGCTCGCCTCTTTGATGTTGAAGGGATTTCATCGTCACCCTTAGCGTCTGCTGAAGGAAGTGAATAAATACTAACTATTCCAAATGCTACCTTCAACACGTCGCTTTCTAGTATTTTCGAGCTGATCCCCGAATTCAGCACTTTCGGAGAGATTAGTCTTCGTTGATGGATTGGCCTGAATTGAACAGGGTCTAGAAATGGACGATTCATTTGATCCACCTGAATTGCATAAAGAATTAAGTGGCGCTTAACAATAAAATAAGCATCATAGGTGGTCAAAATATTAATTAAAAAAGGCATATATACTGGAAGAAAAAAATGGGGTTTAAATTTTTAAACAACCTGCAACAAAGCCTTCCATAATTTCGAATATATTCCCATATCCATGATTAGAGCTCATACTATCCCTCAGAGGCCCAATTGGTTAATAAATGGAACTCAAAAAGCGCGCTCAGACTACAGGCCTTGACCTTAATTTATGGATCAATTGATATTTAACTAGCTTAAAAGTCCTTGATTTCAAGTGAGATTCTATGAAAACATTGAATCTATTCATACATTCACATTTTTTTAGAATTTTAATCTAAATGACACAAAATCTTGACTTTATAATATGCGCAATATGATGACTTTCAATTTAATCGTAAATTTAAAATCTCAAACAAAATGGCTTTTTATTTAAATTAAATTACTCCATGTTAACAATGTTGTAGGATTAAGGGTGGTCATTCTATTGACGTAAATTTGATTAAAGTATTCCCATCGAGGATTATTTTAGCAATTCGTTATGCAAATATTTATTTTGTATAAAATAAGGTAATTATATATTTTTCCCAACGTTTGGCTATCATTTACTACCGACTGACTATTAACGAGCACTTTATTAACAAAATTATTCATTTGTAGCAATTCGCTTGAATTTTGTGAAGTGAGGAATTTATCCGATAAATATAATTGAGCATATTATTCATCGTCAATTCGTTAATTCAGGCATTCGTATCTAACAGCAGGTTTCTCCGTTACCTTAATGTGTTACTGATGCATTGAGCGAAGAGATTAATTACAGCGGTTCCGATTGTTGTATGGAAGATATCTTCCGTCGATTTTCTTCAACTTATGAAGAGACTTACGCAAACTTTAGTTCAAATTGCCGACATTTGATAGAGTATTAACCTAATTTCATGATTGGGGATTCCACAAATTTCCTAAAATTGAGTCTAATTGTCGACAGTTATACCATATATTTTTATTTGCGAGGTGTGGGATAGACTTACCTCCTCGTGTTGCACCCTGGGCAACGTATACTCATCTGGCATAAAAGTTTATTAACCGGCAGTTGACTTCTCGCCTCAAACTACCATCAACCCCACTGTATGCCATATTCGACCCCTACCACAGTACTAATTTTACCATTTCTGAGCCTTTGTGTCTGTCTGTGTCTTTTACATCTGTGAATCACTCTTCTATTCCCCCTCCCTTCTTTAACTCTTCTATTCCCCCTCCCGAATTCTTCTCACTTTGATGCTCCTCCCTTCTGTGAATCCCGAAGTCAATTAAAGGGCTAATGATAACTATCTAACCGCCTGCCATTTGCTATAAATAAATATTTTATTTGCACCGAAGAGTGACACATTGAATCGTACACAATTATTCACCGCATATACAAAGAGAAAACCCAAGAAAAAATTAGGAGACAATTGATGGAAGTCCCTACTCAATCATACTCATCATCTTTATCTACAACTCCACCTAAAAGTAATGCAGAGGCAGGGATAGAAACTGTTGACGTGATAACATTGCCAGCATTGGATTTGCTATTAGCGTCAGATGTAGAAGGGACATTTGAAACCCCTTGGTTATGAACAGCAACAGCATGCATGGTTGATTCAGCGGCTTTTAAGAGGTCAGATTCCTCCAATAATTGCTGCTGTTCTTGCAACATTTGAACACGTGCCTGAAAGAGACCCACTTAGCATCGCATACACTATTAATAAAATCTCAGCACAATAGTCTCACCAGTTCGAAGAGGCGTTCCTGCTCTTCTCCTAACCTATCCCATTCCTCAGGATCCTGTTTCTTGAATCGGTGACTGGCACTCAACATTCGACGATCTTTTAATTCGACCTTTGCGCCTTCATTTGCAGCTCGAACTTCATCAACATAATCCGAGAGACCCATAGATTCAAGCCCTAAGTATAAAAGATTGCTAATTAGGATTAAAACATGGCGGTCTACCAGAAAGTATATGCTCCGAATTTATTGTTTTCTTATTTGCGCGGGCACAAGCTGCATTGGCTTCGGTAGAAAGTTGATGAATAAATTTGTGACAACAGTTGAGAAGCAAATCGCGGGTTTCAATTGAAAGGCGAGCTTCTGGGAGAAATTCCTTAATAAATTTATTTAAAGAGGCGCGCGGAATGGCAACTTCTTCATCCTCTTTAAACGCCAAATTGTCGTCAACTAAAATTAATAAAGTAAGCTAACAGTAACAGAAAAAACATAGCTAACAAATATTCGTGCGAATTTATGTTTGTATTGTAATAGTAAAGTCAAAATTGATGCTTCAATATGAACAGAAAAATTTAGCAGCTCAAAATCTCGTAGCGAATATACCCAATTAAACACGAGTTTAATAGTTTCTTAATAAAATATTTTAAATTAAATGACAGGCCACATTCTGGTTCATGCTAAACCACTCCGACAAATTCAAGTTTGTAGGCATAAGACAAATTCCAACGAAATATTTTCAATTGTCAAAACATAATACTAGGAAATAAAAGCTCCAAACTACAACTAATCTAATGTCGAAAAAGTTAGTCACGAGCCAAATGGATTCAGAATCTTATTTCATTGTTTAGAAATGTAATAAAACATGAATTACTCATATGAAAATGATCTTTATTAATATAAGTAGTATATACTCACTAAAGACCATACAAAAATTGAACGATAACAAAGCTTGAATCATAAAAAGCAGCTGTAGAGTATATAATTTCGGCAATAATTAAGAGGGCTCGACTCACTGTCCATTTTGGGCTAAAACAACACTACTCCAGGTAATCGAATTTTGCGGATTTACCTGCAACTGCTATATATTTTCAGAAAATATACAGTTATTAAGACTCCAATAACTATATCTTTTCAGCCGCTGCCTATTTCTAACTTTCAAAATTTAATTGAATTTTATCTTAAAATTTTAATCTTCTGAAGCAATTGTTATTTTTCATTAAAATACACCGTTAATCAATGTATTCCTGTTGTGCATTTTTTACTAATTTATATTATTTTAAAAATATTTACACATCATTATTTATTTAATAATAATTTAATTTAATGTTCTAAATGCGTCATCTCAATTTTTGATTGGCTATTCTTGCCTTTATATCTTCTGCCTAAATCGCTAATGTTCACGAGTGTTGGTAGGGTCCTCTTTCAGAGTTTGGGCAGTTTCATAACCTCAGGTAAATCAACAAGAAAATATCTAACTGAGTTATTCGTTGACACCGCTCTCATTTATCGTTAGTGTCAAGTAAAATTTTCAATGCTATTGATTTGTCTATCTCATTTTTTCTACTTATGTATCTTTTTTATTTAGCATGTGTGAGGCCAGTAACTCCTCTTATTTCACCTGCGATTAACAGGTTTGCTTCTTCTCCTCCGCCAATATCTTCTATTTTTGCTATTCGAACCTATAAAAGCATCGCAGAGATGGCTCTTCATGGACCTTTTCGCAAGAAACGCGCACCTAATAAACACATGGATGGTAGACCATTTATGAAAGTAGGTTTATGTTTTGTCCTCTTGCTAACATTGTTTGCTTTTTCTTTGCTGCTATATTCACGTATCTGATGAAATAGGGAGTATTTTTATATTCATTATTTAACTCCATATTTTCAACGTTTTGCTTAATATGATCTTTTGGTTTAGTGGTTAATTTCTTTGCCTATTTCTTAGCTATTGCGCTTTTTAAAATTATCTTGGCTCGGTAAAAATTTTGTTGCACTTGGAAAGAAATTTTAATTTAATGTTATTCTTTTATTTTGAATATGAGGTATATGGGAAGATACAGTCGAGAAATTTATATGAATTGGAAAAATTTTTCTCTACTGTATTTTAATTTGGTTTTATTTTAATTGGAACTATCATTCCTCTTGATTTTAGTGTAATTAAATTGGGAAGTTTTCTAAATTTTTATTCTATCACTTTGATTTTCCTTAGTATTTCCATCTTCCTATCTTTTTGTTTATCTCATCTTTTACTTTTTTATATAAAAATGTATAATTTAATTAAAATGACTGCCTTTCTTCGCTTCACATTGTGAAAGTAACTTTTTCCACAAATTAAAATTCATTTTTCTTGCATTGCTTTTTATCGTCCGATTTTTTTTGCTATTTCACCATCTTCCAAATTATTTAACTCTCTTAGTGTGCTTGTTGGAGTACACCGCAACATGCTTTTTTAGGGTGTCATTGTCATAATTCGTTTGTCTTGCCATATCTGCTCTAGAGCCTATTGCATGAGGAAGTGGGTACTTTTTTCTAAAATTTCTACGTCTGACAATCGCACTTAAGGAGTTTGATGATAAAAATTTTTCCTTTTAAACCATCTAATAATTTACGTCTTTTTCAAACTTGTGGTATTCTATCTGCCATTTGCTCGAGGTGATGTATAAGTCTTTATTATGGCAAAGTGTAAAGATGGTAAATGTGGAAGGGCATAAGGTGTGCAAGAAGCAAAGAGAGCTCTTATGGCGAAAGGAATCGGCCATCTTGTCTTGATGGCCCCAAATCTCCCCTAAAACTGTTGATCTTCTTGTTTTAATTCCATGTTATTCTTACTATCTTTTCCACTCAATTCCTATTGGACAGTTCCACTAATCCGTGTTCTTGATGAAGAATTGCAATAAATAATTTCGTTCCTAACGCCATAAGAAATTTACATTATCACTTGTTAAGCATTGTTCTTTCCGTTTTTTTTTAATTTCTGTCAGTTTTTAAGTCCCATTTGGTTCTATTTTTACTTTGGGGGTGTGCGATAGACTTACCTCCACGTGGGGCACAGGGCAACATGTACTCATACGAAAAAATGTCTATAAACCGGCAGTTGACTTCTGACTACAAACCACCATGACCCCACTATATGTCATATTCGACCACTTTAACAGTACTCATCTTACCTTTTCTCTACCTTTGTGTCTGTCCGTCTGTGAATCATTATTCTGTCCCCCCCCCTCTCCCTCTCTCAACATTTTCCCACTTTGATGTTCCTTCTCCTCTCTGTGATGCCCGAAGTCAGCTAAAAGGCTAATGATAACTATCAAAACGCTTCCCATTTGAAATAAATAAATTTTTACTTTTGCTTCCACCAACTTTGCAGAATTTTGGTATCTATCGTCGCTTAAATTGGTGAATATTCTGGAGCCATGCAGCTTCCTATTTGAAACTATAATATGCAGATACCTTTTTGGAAGCCCATGTTTGAATTTTACTTGCTATATTCACGCGTTTATTTTGTTTTTTTAGGGTTTTGTTCTTAA